TAGGAATATATCCTAAGAAATGTGTGGTTAGGCGATTCTGTCATCATGTGAACATCATAGCGCACACTTGCTCAAGCCTGGATGGCATAGCCTACTACACACGTGGGCTACATAGTGTAGCCAGTTGCTCCCAGAATACAAGCCTGTGCAGAACTCTACTGTACTGAATACTGGAGGCAACTGTAACAGTAAAAACATGGCATAAAAGATTAAAAATGGCACACCTGTGCCATGAATGGGAGCTTGCAGGAATGGAAGTTGCTCTAGGTGCATCAGTGAGGGAATGTGAAGGCCTAGGACATGACTGGTCACCACAGTAGACTTAATAAACACTGTACCCCAGCGTCACCAAGATCGTGCAAGAAATGCACTGTGCTACCTCAAAGTGGCTATGAGGATGCTACTTGGCGATAGGAAGTCTTCAGCTCCATTGTGATTATGGCCCCACCACTGTACACGCAGTCCATCATGACCGAACGTCAGACTGCAGCACATGACTGTGCTCTGTTTTTACATTGCAATATGGTATGGAAAGTGTCTTGATGGTTAGTACTGGGTTAGATATAAAACTCCTTTCAAAGAACTGATGCTTACAAAAATGTTAAAATATTTTAAATCTAGATAGTGCAGATCTAGGTTTTAAAAGCAACATTTCCTAGATGGATTTTTTTTTAATGTAAAATATATCATATGTTATAGCTTACCCTATATCTAGCTAGGAAGAAAAAAATATGTAAGGGTATGCAAGTACAAGAAAGAGGCAAAAGCTTGGTTACATAGAACTTTAGCTGCTACGTTCTGTCAACATATTTTATGAAAGGGGCTACACATATATTTACCACCACCTACTCAAGTAGAATTAAGTGAAATAGTTAAAAAGCTAGCAAGTTAATCCTGGCCAGTATGGCTCAGTGGTTGAACATAGATCTATGAACCAGGAAGTCATGGTTTGATTCCCTGTCAGGGAATGTTCCTGTGTTGTGAGCTTGATCCCCCAATAGGAGGCATGCAAGATGCAGCTGATCAATGATTCTATCTCATCATTGATGTTTCTGTCTCTCTTCCTCTTCCTTACTCTCTGAAATAAATAAAGTACATATATATTTAAAAGCTACTAAGTTCAGAGTAAGAGCATAAAATGTGATCAAACAGGAAAAATGAGACACTTTTTACAGAAATGTTTAAAAGTACCAGTGGCCTTTGTGACCTAAAGCTCAAGTATTGCGTAAGGACAGTAGGTCTTGTACAGCGATTTTCTTTTCTTTCTTTTTTTTCTTTTTTTCTTTTTCTTTTTTTTCTTTCTTTTTTTAAATATATACCATTCAGGTTTTTGATGTGCACACAATAAATATTTATTTAAAGAATATATGAAGGAAAGAATTAATTACACAAAACTAACAACTAGATCCTGTTACAGTTTTTCCTTTTTTAAACTAGCTTAATTTCACATTGAGAACTTTTAAATTTTGACATCAAATGTCATTTTGACTAGTGTATCACTTTTATTAGAATAACTTTAGACTGTAAAGCAAGGCACTCATAAATCATTTTTCAGCATAACCTCTCACATCATTCACAGAGAATATGTAGATCTTTATGACTTCAATTCAGCAAATTGCAAGTCCAATCTTATTGTTGTTTGACAGCTCACTAGAGAATTCAATAAACGAGTCAGATGAATTCCATATAATTTCATCATCTAAACTACCAAGGACAGTGTATGGGCATTACTTGCTCTGATAATAGATTTAAAAAGAAAATCAAAAACTAATTCATCTGACTTGGTCTATTGTATCTCAGCTTGAGGGTAGCAGGGGGGAGTTCTTAGTGAAATAATTCACATTAAAACAGCATGATTGTTTTAACACTAAAAAAAAGCCATGCTAAAAATATAAAGCTTAATTGTATATTTTAGTTTTAATTTTGCCATTATATAGACATAATCTTAGAAAATACCTAATTTTTTATTTAAATATCCATTACAGTTTGGTGTCTGTTACCTCATTTTTATAGTTAGAAAAATACATCGATTGTGCCATTTTCTGTTGAAGCAAAGAAAAAAAGTTTAGAAAGTAACAAGAAAATACATTTTTTTCTTAAAGGATCTTGAAGTTTAGGAACAAGCTGATTTGACTAAACATATGTCATTTCATTTGGAGTTAATGTCTACAATATATATCACTAATTATGTACAAATATCACATATTTAGAGGGACTGATTATTGTAAACTTTTATTATATTTGTAAAGATTTTTGAAATTCAATTTAATGTGATCATGTGCTCCATACTTTTATCTTTTGAGAGTGACTTATAATAACATGTTCAGAGCATTCTAGTGCAAGTATTTTATTTTTTCCTGTGGTCATCCTTATCAGGATGAATTCTAATATTGTGAATATGTACTATAAATTAAACTGGATTACAGATCTTTAAAGATATGTATAGCTAGGTGCTATAATGCCACCTAAAATACCTGCCTGAGTGAAGAGATGTATACTTTAGCAAACACTTTTTAAAGTGAGTGTATTTCATGAGAGGAATTTTCTATTTTATATGTAATTACAAATCACTTCTATTTCATCAAACTATAAAGTGATTTTGAATGTGAATTAGTAAAGAATGTTAAATTGTAGCAGTAAATTCAGAAAGAAAGCCAAGCTGAGATTTTGAGCAAGTAGGCCTTCCTGATTTAAAATGCTATTTTCTTATGCAATATGGAACAATTCTTAGTTCCTCTGAAACGTTGTTCGTAAATAATTCTGGTTTGGAATTAGGAATTGTATTTTGAAGAAAGGAAGAAACTTGTAACATCACATTGGAGTTTTGATTATTCTATTGTATAATTACATAATTTTTTATTTAATATAATTTAGACTTTAAAAATAATATTCTGCTTTAAAAATTTTCACAAGGTCTTTCTTAAGATTCCTTCTTTCATCTCTAAAATCAGCAATTAAAATCAGTTTCAACTATTTGGCAAGTGGGACTCATCTTTTGTTTTTCTCTCCCTGAATTGTGTTTACATTAGCTTTAAACACTTGCCTTGAGGAGGAAATAAACTTCTACATTCTTAGGGAAAACTGTTAAACTAGAAGATCTAACACAGTAATTCTCAAATTAGTTTAAAGAACTTATGGCTTAAATGAATGTGAATTCTAATTTACTTACTTTGAGCTTGGCAGCTGTTTTTGATTAATTTGCATTTTGTACATTAATTGCTTCCCTCAATCTCGTGTCAGATTTATAGTAGGGAAGTTATATTTTTTTAAACCTCACTCTATTATTCATTTAAAGAAAGATAAAAGATCAGTCTAGAAAATTAAGAAGTAAACTGCAGTTAGCAAAAGATAATAAATAGAATAAACACATGCACTTATATTATTTGTGTGTGTATGTATATGTATGTGTGTGCAATATATATAGATGAGGATATAGAACCATTGCAACTCAATAGTAAAAAGTCAGACAACTGGAATGTTTTAAAAAATGGGCAAAAGATTTGAAAAGATATTTCACTGAGGAAGACATGTGCATGGTCAAAAAAAGCATGAAAAGATACTTAAAATTATTAGTCATCGGGGCACTGGAAATTAAAACCATTATAAAATACAACTAGATACTCAGTAAAGTGGCTAAAATTTTAAAAGACAATACTAAGTGTTAGTGAGAAGGTAAAGCAACTTCACCTTTCATGCATTGCTAGTTGGAATGTAAAATGATACCACCACTTTGAAAAAAACAATTTGGCAAATATTTGAAAAGTTAAATATATACTTACTTAACATATAACATTGATTATTTGTCTTAAGGGAAATGAAAATTAATGTCCAAACTTGCACTCAAATGTTTATAGTAATTTTGCTCATTATATCCAAAATCCAATCCCAAATACCTACCAATAGATAAATAGATATACAAAATATAGTATATCTAGTATAATGAAATACTATTCAATTACAAAAAGAAACAGATTGCTGATACTTGCAATAACATGGAAGAATGCCCAAAACATGATAGTGAGCCAAAGAAGCCAGACACTCTCTGATTCCATTTATATGAAACTTTGGAATAAAGATAAGTCTAATATGGCCTGTAGGTAAGGTGATTTACTAAAAAAGAACTGATATATTTTAGTTTGATGGAAATAACCTATAACTTTATTAATGTGGTGTTTATAGGTTTACTCATTTGTCAAACTTATTGACCTCTACATTCAAAATAGATGTATTTGTGTGAATTATACCTGAATAAAGATGAAAATTTTAGTGTTTACAAATTTTATTTATAGTTGATTCTTAAAGGAAAATAGCTCAATTGATGAACACCTAAACATAATATCAAAATTAAGTCCTGTTTAAAACTTTAAAACTTCTCCAAAAGAAATGAATTAATTCACTAACTCTCCTTATTTTAGTTTTTCTTTTTAAATCTAAAACTAACAAAACTACATTTACCCCCTTTTTATTTCTTATCTCTAAAGTTATAGTAACTTACCAAAAAGCTAGTGCCTCTCTCTACATATATTTACCCACCTAAAGTATGTAACATATCTCAAAAAGTTTTATGAAATTTTTGTGTTATAAAGAGGACATTACTATGGAAATCTTAAGTTCAATGGTACAGGAAGTTAGGACTTTGCTGCCATATGTAGAGCATCAAAAGTGTGTATAGTATTGTAATACATCTGTTTTGTTTTTTCCCAAGGTAATAATTTTTTTTATGATCTTTTATTTATTTTTTCCTTTCTGTTCCTTTGGGCTACCACAAAAATTACTTTGATTGCTCAGCTAACCTCTCCTGCCATCCAGGCCTGCCATTTTAAGTATAGAAATGATTTTATTTTATTTTATTTATTTTTTTGAGGCTTCATGGATTCTGATGAGATATCAATCTTGGTCACTTCATGGATCCTGAAATACCAATCTTGGTTACTTTTCTTAGCACTTTTTTTTTTTTAACTGAACAGTCTAATTATATTAGTTCTTTAACCTTCCTACAGATTTGTTATTGGGCGAGAAAAACCAGGACAAGTGAGTGAGGTTGCGCAGTTGATCAGCCAGACGCTGGAACAAGAAAGGCGCCAGAGAGAGATGCTTGAGCAGCACTACGCCCAGTATGACGCCGACGACGATGAGGTAGGGGGCCTGAGCAGACATTCTTTTCCTGCATTTCTTTTCCCTAGGTTCCTCCTTCATAAAACTCTCTTTATAACAGTATGGCAGGTTCTTTGCAGTTTCCCAAGAGTGTGTGTGTAAGTTCAATCTCATGGAAAAGAAATATTACTTGCTTTTATATTCACATATGAATCAAATATAAGTATTCTGTTGATAGTGTGAAGACTTTGGAGTCATCTTTTATCACACTATTAAAAGAAATTCACTGAAACCATCACCAAAAAAAAAAAAAAAAAAAAAGTAAAAATAACAAAAATGGGAATGGTTACTGTCTTTATGGTTTGAATTAGGTGGGGCGGTTTTTTCTGTGTTTTTGCAATTTTTATAAAGTTTTCAGCCAGTATATAATGCTTTTTCCAGGGAAAAAAAAATCAGTAAACATTTGTGTGAAAAAGCACACACATACAAACACAGAAAAGCACTAACAATCACTGAGGTTTTTCAGGCTTTTCATTTTGTCCAGGAAGAGAAAGTTCCTTGGATCTGCTTGCTATGATTTGTGCTAACACAATGCAGAACAAAGCTTTCCCACCAGCACATATTCCAGAGAGCAGATACATATTGGAATAATTTTGCATCCTGTTCTCTGTAGAAGATCAAGTAAAGGAATAGAAGCTAACCCCCAAGTGAAAACGGCTGTCAGGAACCCTTGTGTGTTGTAATATAATACAGATGCTGGTCTATTTCTAACGTAAATGCCAAGTGTACATTGATATAATGGGACAACATGCTTTATTTTAAATGTGCATGTGTTTCATATTGGCATATCAAAAAATCCTTCAACAATTTAGTTGTAGTATTCCATGCTCCATAAACATGGTAAATATTCAGGTAAAATAAATATTCTTTATCCCAGCTGATTCAAGGACTTCATATGTTCAACCTCTATTCATCTGAATTTATTCTATGTTCAGAACTTTTTAGGTTCCTGGCCAGAATGTAGTGAAGATTAGTAAACAGACATTCAAATATTTTAATGTATTTTTAATCTGGAATGTTTTAACCCAAATGCATATTAATTTTTCACGTGCTTGTAGTGTAATGATTTACTCTCCATTTCTTAGAGTAGAAAATTCAAAATGATGCATTAGTTAACTTTTGATCAAAGAGTACATGTAAAGTCTTCACGTGAAAGTCTCCCATAATCCTGTTTTGTTGATTTTATTTTTTCACTTGCAGAATTCATTTGAATTGGCTAGTATTTTTTTTATTTTACTGAGATATTATATATGAAAATGTTATCTTGGATTTAGAAACTAAAGAAGTGATTTCCTCAAATACTTGAACATTCATCTTACCTAGTCTTCCATTCTCTGTGCTAGTGTTTTATGTTTTAGCAGAAGCACTGATTTGCTTTGGCTACAAGCCTATTTTAGGGCTGCAGAATGGATTCTGCAGGTCTGGTTTTTACCTGCTCACTCTGCTAGAAAGAATTTGGAGCTGAGGTTCAGGGAGTAGGGGTGACATCAGTGGTGGAGGCTGAGGAGACTAAGCTTTCTTGTCTCTGTGGGCCTCCGTGTCTCCAGCTGAGGAGCACAGGGAATGGGATTAATCTCTGAATTTTTTCCAGCTTCTAATATTCCATGAGCCTATGAAATAAAGCATCTGGTGAAACAAGAAAAGGGGGGAAAATAAAATAGGTTTTTAAGGTCCGTCAAGTGAAATTTTTAGATTATATACTACATACTTCTTCCAGTTATTTTGAGGAAGTGATCAAATTCACTCCCCAAAAGTTTTCAGTTCAAACAGGTAAAGTGCGCGTGCGCGCGCTCTCTCTCTCTCTCTCTCTCTCTCTCTCTCTCTCTCTCTCTCTCTCTCTCAGTAAATATAGATATAAATATAGATATACACATATCTATGTATATTATTTTCTAATGTAATAATTTTAGTAAATGCAAAAGGAATGTTTGTTACTCAACATTTATACTTAAGAAAACATCATGGATTTTTTTTTTTTGGCCAATTTTTGTAAGGAAAGCAGAGTTGATTGTCACTTAAGCGGATCTTTTCAGGGGGAATTGGGGTAAGTATTCAGTACCAGGCACTTTCCCCACATAATTTCATGTATCTTTACAGCAAATAGAAGAGATTCTTTTTTTCTCTAGAAATGCAGCAGCTTAAGCTTTTTCTGGTGTTTGACAGAGTTAGGATGGGAAGAGGGATCTTCCTGATTCCAAAGCCTGGACCCTGCACCAGGTTGCTCTTTCTGAACAGAGTGGACTGATGGGTGTGCCTGTGTTCAGGCGCACACAGACTCATTGGATAACAAAAGATGCTGCAAAGAGGGCCTGTGCTTAAGGTGATGGAGTATCTTGTAAGACTTTGATTCTGTGGCTCTGTCCTATATTTCTAATAATAAGGGAATCTAATTCTTGAAGGGTTTTTTACTCTAGGCCAGTGGTCAGCAAACTCCTTAGTCAACAGAACCAAATATCAACAGTACAACGATTAAAATTTCTTTTGAGAGCCAAATTTTTTAAACTTAAACTTCTTCTAATGCCACTTCTTCAAAATAGACTCGCTCAGGCTGTGGTATTTTGTGGAAGAGCCACACTCAAGGGGCCAAAGAGCTGAATGTGGCTCTCGAGCCGTAGTTTGCCGAACACTTAGGCAAATACTTAATCTATAAGTATCCTGTGAAGATAGGACCTAAAGAGCATACAAATGTTTTACAAAAAAATAGAGTTTAGATTTAGGTTAAACTTTCTCTTCTGTCTGCAAGTTGTAGAAATAAAAATCAGGTGCTACTACATCACTCCAAGTAACCCTCATTTTACTGAATGTCATGGGACCTTTCCTCTGTCTCTCGCACTCACGCTCCTCTCTGTGTTACATGCTCCCTCTCTTGCTGTTGCACACCACTTTACCCAAGTGTGCCAAGCTGAAACCAACTGTTAATTTCCTGTGCATAGGAGAGATGAAGGCTGTACAAATGATTAAAAGTCACTCTTGTGTAAACACTTTATCTATGTGACTTAAATTCATTTCTTTTACTAATGCTACCAAATACTTTTAAATTGATTTGAGTGTTGTGTCCCTATTTTTTATTTACTCTCTTTGTTAATAAAAAGTAAAATGTCCAAAAAATGTAATGGAAATGAGATTAATTATTATTGGTTATCCAGAGGGTAAATGGTCCTTGAATAATTTAGTTAATTTGATATCTACTTGAGTAATTCATTGATTAACATAACTTTGTTAATCCTGAATTGTATAATCAATCAGTTGGCTTTTTCATGCTTCCTATTTATAGAATAATTCTGTGATTTCAAAGATAAAATCATTTTTATTTGACAGTATCCCCTGTGACATTCCCTGGGCCAGCCAGGAAAACCTCTAATTAAATGCAGAACCACCAAGTTCATCCAAGTAACTCCAGTGCCAGCATTTAGATCATCGTTGTCTACGAAGGATAGATAGCTTCTGGTTTTGGTCAGATTATCCAAGGTTGATTCTGACTTGGGACTTGTCACATTGACAGAGGGGAGTTGCTTGCTTGAACTGCCTACAGGGAAAACACTGTAATGTGATAAATATGTCCAGAAATTGTAAAAGTATAGTGGAACCATAGTTGGGATTAAAACTACTTTATCATGTATAGTATGTGCTTAGATATATCTGGTTTAATGCTTTAGGAAAGCATAAATGATACCCCCAAAAAATTAAAATATAAAAATAATACCCAAACTCTGAATTTCTTCATTTTTCTAGCTTTTCTTCTTCAAGTATTTAAACTACAAGAGTTTATAATAAGCAAACAACCAATTCAACATAATTTGTATTCCTATATCTTTTTACACTCAGTGTTAAACATTCTGATTTTTAAAAGCAAAGTGGCTTTTTAAAATGGCTCTACCTGAAGGCTAAACGTGACTTTTAAAAATGGCTTGTGAAAATGGTTTCACCTAAAGGCTAAAAAATAAAAGAGATTCTATAAAGAAGAGGAAGATAGAAGTCTGAAAAACTGAAAAAATTTAAATGTAGATCTGTGATTAGTATTTACATTTCTGGATTTAATAGAATTATTGTTCATTTCCCTTCTTCCCTCCCTCCCTCCCTTCCTTTTTCTTTTTCTTTTTCCTTTTTTTTAAACAATCTGGAAAGTAGCCATGGAGGATTTCAGTAAACCCTTCAAAGAGTTGGCACTGTCCTATGAAATTCTGGGGTATGGTAAATTTTTCAACTAGATTTTAATTTTCAATAACAAATTAAATCTCCTGTCACACTCCACAACAATCAATCTTTAGCATTTGAGTGGTGAAGTGATGTAATTCTGGTATGTTTTGTGTCCTGTGGGTCTTCTGTGCATATCTGGGGCATCTCTATCCGAGTTTTTTGTAATGTGAAACACTGTGTGCTCAGACTGGAAATGAATCCTGAACTGGTACTGTACCACTTTTTTAAATTAGAAAATAAACATTGTTGTTATATTAAAATGGGCTACTTTACATGCACATTTAAAGTTATCTGATTACTTTGCTTTTGCCTCTTTCTATATCCTTTTAAACTATACCATTTATTACATTTCAAAGGCTTAGATTATAGATGGCATTTCAAAGTCTCTTTAGGCAGTATTTCATAACTATGTTAATCATCACTCCCATAATGGAGGCCCCCTTTTTAAAAAACTTAATTTAATCTTTCTGTAATTTCTTTCCATTACTGGAAGTTAATATCATTATAACTAAATCATAACAATACTATTAATAGTTAATTTTTTTAGAATCTTTTAAAGTATCGAATACAATTTGAAGCAGCTACCTACATGTACATGCATTTTCATTGCTTGTGTTAACGTAATAATTGAAGGCAAAAATATAATAGAATTATGGTTTGCACAAGTGTTAAAAGGTTTACAAGAATAGAGTTTTTATGTGAAAGCATTAAAGAGATAGCATTATATTTGACTCATGCTGTTTGCTGTTCCTGGTTGAAAACAGCTTGTGTTGCTTGAACAAGAGATTGCAGTTATTATGGATGGCTTTTTAATAATATGAATTGACTTTATTCTGTGTTTATAAGAGTAGGGGCATTCTCTTAGTTCTAGAAAGTGTGTGCTACAGCAGGCACCGGAACTTCAATGGTTGATTTCTTACCCTTTACCGTTAAGCTGCTCTCTTTAGTGGGGCAAATTCTCCTTTAATTTTTGTTGTCAACTATTTTAGAACACGGTGGCTGACTTGCAAGGAGTGTCTGGCAACTGCAATAACAATAACAACTATTCCCTTAAGGTTTGTTTTCTGGTGGGGAACAATGCTTATCTGTACCTTCCTGCCTCGTGTGTGAAATGAAATCGTCTCTGTCTTATTAACTAGCTTGATGCTCACAAGATTTTCTCTAGAGCTGTGTGTTGTGAATGTTGAATAATAGTTTGAAGATTATTGTTTAATTCTGAAACTTGAAACTACATATCTTAGATGCAGAACTGGACTCACTTTCTAATATTTAACTGTGGATGTTTTTAACCCTTAACACTTTAAATACTTTGTAATTCATATTAAAGGAAAACAAAAGATACCTGACAACAGAGTTGTATGATGTTGGTACAATACAGCAAACAAAAGTAATTTATATTGTCTTTAAATCCATCCATTTTCTTTTAATACGTGTTCTTAATTTTAAAAAACATGAATGCATATATCTCTAAATTATCATAGTAGTTACTTGCATGGCCTATATAGTGGATATGCTAAAATGTCTAGAAATGTGTTATACTATAAATAAAATATTCTTATTATCTTTAGCTGCCAGTAAGAGAGAGGAGCTTGAAAAGAGAAGTCAGTTTTTCTTTTTCTGAAACATGAAAAGATGCCCACATATAAGCAATGAGGATGCGAAAATGAAAAACCAAAATGAAATATTCCACACTCACTGAATTGATTTAAATGGGATATTTTATGTTTGGGTGGGAATGTGGGATAAAAGGACCTATTATTCTCTGCATATAGGAACATAAATTGGCCCAAAACTTGGAAAGACATTTGGTCGTTATCTAGTAAAGTGAACAAACAATTATATTTCTTACTAAACACCTTATGTACATGAGCTATAAAAATATATAATATTGTTTTTAATATAGAAAAAATGGGTACAACTGATATCTCTATCAATAAGAGACAGTGAAAATATATTGTAGTATAGGCATACAGTGGGGTAATATGCAGAAGTTGTTTTAATAAGTCATAATATCTGGTGGACTCTGAGGAATGTACCATTAAAAACAAAAAGGCACAGAAGATTACAAACAATATGATTTCATTTATACAAAGTTTAAAATCCTGTAAAAATAAATAACACATTGCTTAGTTATTATAAAAATCTCTTTAAAAAGAGACAATTAAGAGTGATAAAAGCAGATTTACTCTGTAGGGTAAGTGTTTGAAATAGATTCAACAAGACACACACACATAGAGGACCATAATTAAAATGCAATGGTTCTGCTTCTGTTCTTGAACTAGGTTATTAGTTCATTGGTGGTGGTTACATCATTATCCATTATATTTCTATATGTTACAAAGCACCCTGTACCAACTCAATATTTAATGAAAAAGGTTAAAGTCTGCCATGTAGAGTTGCTTCAATTTAGCAGTTATGAAGATATAAAATGAATAGTTCCTGTTCTTCAAGGACTTACAAAATGACTTAAGAATCTGTGTCTCAAACTTGCCTCGATGTGAGGATCTCATGGTACTTCTTTAAAATTATAAATTTCTGCCTTGAGCCTCAGACCTACTGAAACAGAATATACTTGGTAGACAATCTAGGCTTGTGGGAGTTTGTGGGGAAGGGGTTAGCTGCAATCAGAGCTGGAGTTGTCAGAGCCAGGAAAATGGATATAGAGACCTTCGAGCCCTCGTATTGCAGAGATTTGCAAAGAGGTATTGCTGCCAATAACCACCAGATAGCCATAATGAGGAAAGGAGTAGGATGATTCATATATGTACACACACATGTATATATATAACTTCTGGTTCTATTTAATGACCTATTAGCATTTTTGTAATCATATGAGTCAGTTTTTATATGAACAACCATATTTTCCAAGATTTAATTAGTTGTATAATTATAGAATTATTAAAATAATGATAATACATATCACTTTGGTCACTGTAGTTGTTCTCTTCTGCAGATAAAATTCAGGGAAATACAAATCTCTTAGTCTCTTCCCACAGTTCTTCTGTTGGCATTAGAACAAGTGCTTCATTGTTTCCTTGGAAAGAAAAATGAAACTCAAGGAAAGCTGCCAACTTGAAATTGCAGTGTGACATTTGAATTACAGAGGTCTACTTTGGTCTGTTGGCTGTTCAGTTCTGGGTCTCAGTGGGAAAAATAGGGATCACTGGTTCCCTCCTCATATAGAATATATTTATCAGTGACTTAAAGACAATAACATTTATGTCTTAGTAAGTGGGTAACATTATTAAGAGGAATTGAATTGGGACTATTGAGTCATGGAAAAATATAGTTTATACTCCCAAGAAGCTTGCTATTTTGCTGTGGAAATAATAAATATATATGGTAAGGAATTTAAATCATTTTCAAGGCAACCTGTCAAAAGACCAGATAACCATAGTGTAAAAGAATCATTACAACTAAAGACACAAAGTAAAAGCATGAATTTGAGATTCATAGTTTCAAATTTGATGGCAAGAAGTTTTTTTTGTTATTTTTGTTTAAATATTTTCTATAATGGAGAAGCCAGCTCAATCCCATATAATAAAGAGGTAATATGCAAATTGGCTGTAATGCTGTTATAAGATGACAGTGCCCATAAAGGGGGGTGGGGGGCAGCTGCTCCACGCACCTGCTGCCAGAGTCCCGTCAGCCCCACTGGGGGCCTTGGGTCCTCCTGCACCCCCCACTGACTGAGGCTCAGGCAAGCAGGGCCAGCTGAGGTGCAGGTAAGCCTTGGATGACAGCTACCCAGCTGCCCAGGGCCAGCCTGTGGCACAAGTAACTAGGGCCAGCTGAGGCTTGCGCTGCTGGCAGTGGCAGCAGCAGCAGCAGCAGAGGTGTGATGGGGGTGTCGCCTTCCCCTGATTGCTGGGTCGCCTCCTGCCCCTGAGGGCTCCTGGACTCTGAGACAGGGCAGGCCAGCCTGAGGGACCCCACTTCCCCTTTCAGTGCATGAATTTTCAGGCACTGGGCCTCTAGTATTCTATATATTCAAATAAATAAAAATTCCAATTTTTACCTGCAGAGAAGAGTATATAGAAAGGAATAGTGGTTGGAAAGACTTTGAAAAGGTGAATTGAATAATATTGTAGAAACTTGAAAAATCATCTGAATTTCTAACTTTTTTCCCCATTAAATAATATGTGGCAGAAATGCTCTTTGATCTGAACTGCCTTTTCAAGTGTTTGTGTATGAACCAGCCTTGGAGATATAGTCTTTCCTTCTGGAGCAAGGGCAGTAATATGGCCTGTTATAAAAGATGAAGGTCACTCAAACTCTGGGGTCCTCTCTTGTCATGTCTATGTATCTAGACATTACCTGGCCCTATTCTCATTACTCTTTGGAAAGTGTGGCTTGAGGTTTCAGCACAAAAATCACGATAGACTCTATCAGCTAGTATGTAGAACAATTCTGGGTTAGAGGAAAGTTCTAACCTTGCTCAGGCAACACTGACAGAGAGACACACCCACTGAGCATGAAAGGAAGGCATTTACAAACGCCATGGCAAGATGCCTGGTAAATCTTTAGAACTGTGCCTGGTTCGCTGAAGAGATAATGGGTCAGGGCATATAATGCTAGTCAAGGAAAAATAGCAACAGTTGTGCTGCCTTTCAACTCAACCTCTATTGTAGTTTATCACGCCAACTTTGCATTAACTCAGAGAGCAAAAGACCTCAACTTTTTGTAGAGGGGCTTTGCTGCTCTGAGGGAATATTGGTCCTGTCAAGAAGATTTTTCTTGAGATAGACAAACGCATGTGAGAAACCACTGATGAGTACTTGGGTCCTGACTGGTTTATAATACTGGTGAAACTGTTCGGAATTCTGTCAGCCTCACCACCTTGGAAAACGTCACCATCCCTTATGTTCAAGCCAGATTCATAATTAGACTCCCTATTGAGATTTCCTCTATAACAGAGTCCCCGTTGTGAGAATCAAGGCTATGGCTTCTGAGTCAGACTCCCCAAACCTAAATAGATTGTGTTCGTAATGATGACTCACCTTTATACTGCTTCAGGTGGACATTGGGAGTTTGGTTAAAACATGAGTAATTACTGCACTGCTCAAAACTGAAAACTACTGCACCTTATTACTGGCACAGAGCTGCTCCCATGCCCCTTGCTGCTTCCCCCCTCTATTCTGACCTTGAGGAGAAAGATGGCTAGGGTTAGGCCTGAGCTCTTTTTGTTCTCTAGAGAGACCAAATGCTACATGAACCCCTTGAGTAGGCTGGGGAACTTTGAGAGGGAGGTACCCAAACTTTATGGTTCTGTGAATAATGGTTCATAGGTCTCCATCTCACCAAGTCCCATAGTGAGAAAAGACACCCAGATTCAACTGATGAGTTTTGGCAGGGTTCACTGGAGGAAAGGAAGCGAAATGGTCTTGCCCTTTGGGCAAATGCAAGATGATGCTGTCATTGTTTCTAATATAAGACTTATAATGGAATTGATGTGTTATATGCCTGCACTTCTTTGCCCCACTCATGCCGAAATGGAGACCTCCCATTCAGGGACTGCCACAGTAATAGTAGGACATATAGAGCACTCTTCCTGTTTTCTCCCATGTGGTCCAGAAACAATACAGAATCCCAGGAAGAGAATGGGAAATCACAGCTTATTTAAATATTTAATGGCTGGCAGGACACCTGGGCCATTTCCCAACACAACACTTCATGTCTGATGCAAAACATACACACACACACACACACACACAAAACAAAACAAAACAAAAACACTAACCTCCCACACTCCTCCCCCACCGCCAAACACACACACACACACACACACACACACACACAAAAGTGGGGGCAGCCATTAATCTTCTACTAAATTCTTATGGAAACTGAAATTGAAGCCTGATTCATGGGGGCCATGTGACTCTCCTACCTGAATTATCTCAGTTTGAGATGCATCTACTTGAACACTCTGTTAAATTGCCAATCTGGCCCAATAGCAACTTACATTTACTTGAATAAGTATAGCTTCCCATTTAGGGGAACTTTACCTCTAGAAGCAAGGCCTCTAGCTCAGTGAGGCCTTCAGTTCATGGAGGTT